ATATACATCAGGTATACTCACTGAGCGTGTGGTTTAGCTCACTCCCCTACGACTTATTCTTTTAAGGTACTGTAGAGGAGGATACAAACCGGTTCACTGTCCAGTTGTTTAAGTCTTGTACAACGTTAGTATGATATCACTCAGGTTGAGTGTCGGTATGACTAATTACTGGGTTGTATATTATATTTGTGAGAGATTATTATAATAGATTAATAGTATATATTTGTAAACAGACTCAACAAGCATACTTTGTGATTATGCTATATGGGTATGAAATTTTGTATATGTCTATATCGTGGGTAACATACAATTGATACATGTGTTTTATATATGAAACAGGTTATGAGATAGGTTTTATCATCATGATTAATAACTAAGGTGATCAGTGGTGTTGTTGCACCTATAGGATTACTTAATGTTTGATTAATCCAGTTTATACATATATATGAATAGATATATCAAAAAACTAGTCGCGTCTCATCCTTAAAAGACTGGGATGGGCATGACAATTTGTGTTTTCAAAACAATATTTAAGAGTTATGTATAGAAGACATCCAAAATCCAATTATCAATAGCCTAAGTAGCTTAAGTAAAAGTACCAAATGTAGTTAAGGTTTCTAGCTCATATACCTTTACTAAGTTTTGAAGGATTTCGGAAGCCTTCAAGCATGACTTTGTAGTTTGGATTTCATCTTTCTTCTTGGCTTTTGGTTATCGTTTCGGTAATTTGATGACCATAATTTTAGTTAGATTTACCTTGTAGTCTCATAGAATTAGCCAATTACAATAATCAAATTTTATAATAAAAATAAATCTCTTTAATATATATATATAGATATATATATATCCAAGTTAAATATAATTCACATTTGTCAAGTTGATATTTATATCATCAACACTATACTATGTGACTAAAAGGAATATAGTCAAGATTTTATTTACTTTTCTAATTGTTTGGCATAGGATGATTTTTTTATGAATTGATGAAATATTAATGTTCCGTTTGGTACGATGAAAAAGTGAGAGGATGAAAAGTTGGAGGGATAAAAAAAATATCATGTTTGGTAAGGAATGTAAGTAAGAATGATGAAAAAGTTGATGAATTAACTTTCCTTCCAACTCACCAAAACCAATTCCTCCAAAATCGGAAGGAAAATGAATAGTAAGTTGATTATTTGTGTTGAAATGTATCTTATTTGTTTATATATCTTATGTATACATTAAATTCATATAAAAATACAATAGTAAAATATGTATATATATTTTAAAAAATTTTAAAAATAAATTTTTTAAAAAATAAAGAATAAAAAATAAATTTTAAAAAATTAAAAATTAAAAATTAAAAAAATTTTAAATTAAAAAAAATATATTTTTTTCATCCTAAGGGTGAAAATTTTAAATTCAACACGATGATACGACTCGAACTCGATACGAAAATAAACAGGTCAACTCGCAATTCGACACGACACAATTAGTTAAATGAGTTAAGTTAGGTTTGACTAATATTCAACACAAACTCGTAATGACTTAACACAAATCTGACACGACACGACTCGACTCGATTATCACCCTTAATCTTAGCTAACATAAAAAAAAATAAAAAAAAATAGTTATTTTTATTTTCCATTCATCCATCCAACCAAGCACAAAGGAAGGAAAATATATACTTCCTACTTTTCATCCTTGAAGGATAGAAAGTGCATCCCTTCTATTTTTCATCCTTCCTACTTTACATCCTCCCTACCAAACGGAGCATAAATAAATAATTATAGTTTACAACGAATTTTCTTATTTTTTATGACGGGAGGTATTCGTGAAATTTTAGATAATACGAGAGATATCTTTGAAATTATAATAATCTATAAAAAGAGTAGAGATGATTTTCCTTAATATTTATGAAATTATTGCAATGAGTGCACAAAAAAAATGTAATATTTTATGTATTTTTTATCTTTTTATTAGTGACTACAAATGAATTAAATTAATATTTAAAACAATAAATTATTTTTGACAAAATACCAAAATTTAATTTTTTTGATACAATTCCATTCTATCAAATTTAGTAAGCTGGTACACTTGAGAGATAATTTCGATTACATCCAACAAGAAAATGAATTAGAAGAAATAGAAAAAAAGATGGATAAGATTTAAACAGAAATGCTCCAAAATCCCTCAGCCGTCTGAATTAACGTACGACTCAAACGTTATTTACTACAAATTGTCTTCTAGCTATTATTTGCTAAAACTCGAAATCACAGACAAATGATGGGTCCCTAGGACCTTCTACTAAGGATTTTGGCTTGACCTGTATTAATCCACGCGGGCGATTCCTCAATAATCTTTACGTTTCAGTGCCCGCAGGAGTTTCGTCCCACATCGACTAAGAGTCGTCTATCCCCTCCCATATAAGCCCTTGCACTCAAAGGAGGAGGTACCCACTAGCCACTGGGCTAATGGGTACCTCCTCCTTTGAGTACAAGAGCTTATATACGAGGGGAGAAGACGACTCCTACCCAATGTGGGATAGAGGTAAAGGTTACTGGTGGTCACTTTGGCACACGTCAAGTCAGTCGAAATCCTTTCGGAGGGAGGCAATCCTGTCCAACAAAAGGCGCCTTTCTGTAAGGTGTAGAACCCTCTATTAAGGATTTCGGCTTGACCTGGGTTAACCAACGCGGGAGACCCCCCAGTAGCCTTTACCTCTCAGTGTCCGCAAGAGTTTCGTCCCACATCAAGTGAGAGTTGTCTTCCCCCCTCGCATATAAGTCTTTGCACTCAAAAGAGGAGGTACCCACTAGCGACCTGATTAGGTGTCTACGACTCTCAGTCGATGTGGAACAAAACTAAAGGTTACTGGGAGGTCATCCGCGTGGATTAACCCAGGTCAAGCCGAAATCCTTAGTATAGGATTTTACTTTTTACAGGTCCTATCCTAAAAATCAGCCACGCTCTATGTAACATGTTACATGTGCATGCAAGTGGTAACGATTTTTATTTTTTGGTCAAAAAAATTTAATAAATTTTCTCAAAAAAAAATGATAAAAATTAGTCAAAAAAATGATTTTAAAAAGTGATAAATTTCGGCAGCCTAATCAAAACCCGTTTGTAACGTCTCCACTGCATCGGTCAATCAGATTTAAGTAATCGTCCGATGCGTTGTAGCAGATTGTGAGAATCTGGCACGTCATGGATCATGGGATTAAGGTAATCCGGGGAGGGTAAAGTCGTAAAAGTGGAGTGAGAAAATAACAGAGCTCTGATAGGTGTAGGCATGCATGTATCCAGTTACACACGTTACGGACTGACGGTGGAAAGCGTCCCTTTTCTTCATTCTTCAGTGCCCACCGCTGTTTCGTAACAGGCTACGCTCATCGGTTATGTTTGACCACAAGACAATCTCTCTCTCGCTCTCTCGCTCTCTCGCTCTCTCTCACACACACACACACACACAGACGTTGCTCTTGGCAATAGTAAGAGTAATGGTAGCTGATCCAAATTTGTGGGACATACTTATTTAATGGTTCTTGTTTATTTAAAATATAAATTTGAAATACAAATTTGAGTTATATAATATTTTTTTAATATTAAATATATCTAACAAAATTGATATTAAATTAATAATTTTTTTTTCAAAAGTCAAAATTGTTCGGACTAGATTACGTGCATCTCGATTAATTCTAAGAGTGTCAATCATGTCGTGTTACTTTCGGTATGTGTCGGGTTCATGTCAATATTTGTGTTAATAAAAAATTATTTAATTCGACAACAACTCATATAATATTAAATAATTATGAAAAATTATAAAACTCTTTTTTTTTTTATAAATACTCGTTAAATACATATTTTCTATCTACAATACCTATTAATCGTGTTATTCGCCTCGAATATTAATTTGACCAATTTATTATTTTTATCAACTAATCGTATTATTTTTGATAAAATTGACATCCCTAATTAATTCTCTCTCTAATCCGGTTAAAGACATACCCTCCATAAAAAAATTAGAGTATTTATGAGGAATAAATTTTTCGTGACCTGACTCTTAAAGGATTGTAAATATTCGAATTCAAGACATTTGAATGTATAACTCATCACTATTATTCCTTGAACTATTCCCAAGTTTAAATAAATGAATCTTAACGTAACCAAATGAGTTCAAATAATAAATGGATAAAGCCACAAAATTGTCAATTATATAGCTTGACTAGTAACATTCTGTGTCAAAAAATACGATGAAACATAAGATTCAAGCATTCAAAAAATTGATTTTATTATACTAAATAACAAATTTTTATTTTTTCGTTCATTTGATTACATTATTTAAAATTAATTTATACTTATTATTTTCGTAAAAATAACGTCAAGTTTTTTAACATGTGTATGTTATAGTGTATGAATAACAAATAAAATATAAATTGTGTGAAACTACAAATTATTCAAATATTAAATAATTAAACATGTGCCAAAATTTGGTGATATGATATTTTTGAGAGAAAAAATATATAAGGAATAAAATTTAATTTTTTTTATATATTTTATTATATAGATATGAGCTCGAATACATGCAAGTCGAATTCAGCTCAAGACAACAAAAGTGAATCGAATACGAATTAAACTTCAATTACACATGATTATAAAATGGACTCGATACGAATTGAATAGATTCTAAAATGATAAGACCAAATCCGGCGTGTCTCAACCTGATCCACATTCAATTTTAAATCCGATTAAACCGATTACCAGCCTTAAATCTAATCAAACAGACTCTGCTGATAGGTGTAAGACTGCATGGACGCCCAACCCCAATGTAATCCCACATGTTAAGTTCCTCAAACAAGTGCCCACAATACACTTCCAAGTGTTGATACTCTTCTTCCTTTCTTACATCATGTTGCCCACTTTCCATAAGCCAACCCACCACCTTAAATACCCCCCAAACCCCACCATTCAGCCAACCCTCCACACCCCTTTGATCAAAATCTCACTTGCTCCTGTTACAGTAAACCTCATGATGATTCGAACCTTGAGTCCTTACACCGGCACACCAAAAACAGCTGAGATCATGGCTAGGTACAGACCCATAGCTCCAAAGCCAGAGGTTCCAGTGAACACATTAGTCAACCAGAACATCAGGCAATCTGATTACCTGAGAAACGTTTGGCCTCATTTGCTACAAAGACCCACCAGAACCAGAAAGAGAGGGAGGCCTGCAATTTCACCACCTAATGTGAAGAGACAAAGGACTTGTCTCCAAGCCCTCTATCTTCCTTACCAGGTAACAACAACTCCGCCATCCACAACCTTCTGCTTTAATGCTTTTCCTCATGCCCCAACTGGGCTTCTTCAGCTAGCTCCGCTGGCTCTCCCAATGCCAAACCTCGCAGCCGCCGTAGCCGGCAGCTTCACAAACCCATGCACAATGCTGGCAAATTTACTAACAGTCTCTCTCCTCTCATGTCCTCCATCGCTTCCGATCACCACCCAACAAGCAACAAAAGCACCTGAACACGATGGCATGCAGGTTAATGGTGGTGAGTCTGGTGATAAGGATATAGACTTGAACATAGCAGCTGAAGCTCCTGAGGAACATGATTTTCTGCTGCAGCTTCAAAATAAAGGGCCAATCAGCCCCAACATTATCGCACCACAGCCGGTCCGACCCATTGGTTCCTGCATATATGTAACGTGCATTAGTGAAGACCCAGGGGGCCAAAAAACAGCCATGCATGATCTCAAAAAACCAGAGGATGTGGAGAGAGAGGTGGAGTCCGAGGCCTTACCGGCGATTGTATCGGATTCGAATAACAGAGTCCGGCTGGTGAATTCGGCTTACAAGGAGATGGTGGGTCAACCCGAATGTTCTTGGCTTGACACAGCCGGTGATGGACGGCGCGGAGGCGGTGCATGCAAGAGGATTGGTGGGGAGGTGATGCTTCAATTCTTGGATTCGATTTTGCCAGTTTCATCAATTGGGTTTTCATGCTGGGTGAAGATAGAGTGGAGAAGCAAGGGAACGAAGAACTCGGTCAATGCTTTTTGCGACGCCATTAGGTTACCTTGTGAGTCCAAGGACTACCTTTTTGCATGGAGGTTCCACACAAGAGATGCTTCTCAATCCGCTTCCAGTTTTTGAAATCATGTTGTACAAACATGTAAGCAATCATAAATACATAAAAACATATATATATACATACATATATAGAGAGAATGACTATTTCCATTCTGTTTGTCTTTTTAAATATACCCCTCTTTTCTTTTCTTTTCTTTTTTTGCGGGTGTTCTGAAGCTGCTGCCAGATTTTCATGATCTGCACAAGAATAATGATATTGGAATTTAAAAACTTTGATATTAAACAAAATTGTTGTAATTATAATTGTTCGACTTTGCACTTGTCATACTATTACGTCAGGGTATTATTTCCGATTTTTGTTAAAAAAATTATTCAAACTAAAATATAATACATACTATACAGTCTACACGTAGGAATTATAGATGTACAGAGACAAATGTATAGTTGTGATGTTTACTGTCTAGAGAATGTCTTACAACTATTGTAGAGAGAGGGCTTGTAGAGACAGGCATAAACCTTTGAAGTCATTGAACCTACATTCCCTCACAAGCACCAAAAGGTGAAGAGTTTTTTTTGTTTCAAGAGTGAGTGTGGTGGGGTCAACTTATATGTAATTTGATTATTTTTTTTTTCAGTCTGATCTAAAGTAGATCATCTATATTGGGATTAGAAATTCACGAGGAATAAGTTCTTCATAACTTAACTCCAACAAATTGTCAAAATTTGTCTCAAGAATGTTTGAATTTATAACTTATCCTTCTTATCTTTTGGGTAACCTCGAAATTAGGAAAGAATTGAAATGCTAATGCTCTGTTTGGTACGATGAAAAAGTAGGAGAATGGAAAATTAGAAGGATGAAAAGTTTGAAAAATAAATAAAATATCATGTTTGGTAAGGAAGGAAAGTAGGAAGGATGAAAAAGTTGATGGATTAATTTTCCTTCTAACTCACCAAAATCAATCTCTCCAAAATCAGAAGAAAAGTTGATGAAAGTTAATTATTTGTATTGAGATGTATCTTATTTATCTATATATCTTTTTATATATACATATATTATGTATACATTAATTTCATATAAAAATACAATGGTAAAATATGTATATATATATATGATGATACATGAATAAGAATTTTTAACTAAGTATGAGCTCGGGAAGCGAGGTCAGACAGGGAGCTCGGACCTCTAAAGCCCAAGTCCTGAGTCCCTCTCGGATGAAATATTAGAGAAGTTAAGAAGAGAACAGCTGGCCAATAAGAGGAGCCCATAGAATAACAAAAGAGCATGGAGCAAGGCGTGAGACTCTCAATCACCCAAGATCCCTCTTAAAATCAAGGAAAATCCCGTGGAAGAAGAACAAGGATCTTGCCGCAGATCCTTTAGGGATAGAAATTATACTATATATACTGTACAATGCCTCCAAGATGGGGCAAGAAAAACCCTAGTTACATGAGAAGGCACACTGAAATTTCCATTAAAACAAGAGGAGCAGGAGCCTCGTTTAACAAGTTGACTAACAAAGTTCCCGAGCTGGTGAACCACTATATTCTCATTGTGTAAGTGATCCCAACCCCCTATCAATCAATGTTATCAGAATCGGACCGGACATAGAATCGACAGAGGGACTGGGTCAATGGTTCACTGGTTCAACCGTTAGATTAATTGGTCGGACCAGTCATATAATAAAAAAAAAAAAAATTATAATTTAATAATTTAATTAAAATTTAGTCACAATAAAAATAAAAATATTATATTGTGTGTCTTAACTGATTGTTGAATGTGTCGTGTGTGTTCTTAGTAAAAAAAAACTGTATATTAACTATTTAACTTATAAAGAAAACCCAACATGTGTATTTTTGCTTAACTGTGTATTTTTGCGCGTGTAGAGAGAAGACCAAGAAGCCAGCATGTGAGAGAGAAAGAAAGAAAACCTAGCATATCAGAGGGAGAGAGAGAGAGAAAGAAAACCCAACATGTGAGAGAGAGAACAAGAAGACCCAACAACCTTTCCTTCATTTTTGTGGGTGTGTGTTAGTGTGTCTGTCTGGAGAGAGAGAAAGGAGAAGAAGAAGAAGGCTTACACAACTTAAGAGGAGATCTAGATATGCGGTGTTCTTGATTTGTGGTGTTCTAGATTTGTGTTGTTTGAGATCTATGTTTGCCGTTGTTCAGGATAGAGAAGACGAAGGGACCAGACGAAGAAGACGAAGTGCTGCCTGCCGACTGGATTTAAGCTTTGAACCGTCCGATTTTAAGAATATCTGGTTCATCAGTTTTGGCCAAAATCAGCCGATTTTCCAGTTCTCTAACGGTTCTATTCCTTAAGCGCTCTAACTAAAGAACTGGACCGTTTTAGGTCCCGGTTCACAGTTGAACCGGTCCGGCCGGTCGGTCTGGTCCGGTTCTGATAACACTGCTATCAATATTTCTCACAATCCTCACGAGCCTAGTAACTCAGATTCAAGCTGTCAAGCATAATTTTGACCTTCTGCTCATTCAAATCAATTTACACCATCAGTTTGACGTCGTCTGTGAGAACGACTGTTCGTGTTACAAAAACACTGATCTTTTAGTGACTGATGGTCTCAACTCGCAACATGAGCAGAAGCCAAACAAATCTACCACGAATGCAGGACCACAAGAAGCTACCAGCGACAGACAACCCGATAATGTCACGGAGACTAATTCTCCCATGGGGAATCCCCCCACAAATAACGAGTTGGAGGCCTTTCGTTTAGTTAACGTATGCTACAGCAGAATGAGGAGCTTTTGAAGCTCTTGCAACACCCTCAAGAGGCACAACTGGCCCAAGAAGGCCAGAATAACCCCCCTCACAGAGAACAACAACACCTCGATCCTATCAAAGAAGTCAACGAAGGAGGAGAAAACAGCCAGACCTTGGAGCAGGTTCCTCATCTACCCTCTAGGAATGGACACAATGAAGAAGTGCAAAGTCAAAACAATGGGGGCGAGAGGAATGATTTTTTCCCTTATCAGCAGGAGAGGAGAGAACAGTACTAGGAGTAGCACTTCAAAGATATCCAACAAGAGCTCAGCCACATGAAGGAAGTTGTGAGGAACAAAGCTCCAGTTACAATGGATGCCCTGGTGCAACAGACTGAGTCCCCATTCACCACTGGCGTGCTGCATATTCCCCTCCATCCAAAATTCAGAATGCCGCAGATAAAGGCTTTTGATGGAACGAAAGACCCCGTGGACCACCTCAATACCTACAAGAATCAGATGGAGCTGCATGGATACCAAGACCCTGTGCGTTGCAGAGTCTTTGCCATCACGTTGAAGGGCTCAACCCTGGTGTGGTTTAATAGGCTCCCCCCAACCTCAATCTCCTCATTTAAGGAGTTTTCCATGTCCTTTGTATCTCACTTCATAGGAGCACGGATATACAGAAATCGAGGTAACACCTATTGAATGTGAAACAGGGACCCCAAGAGAACCTCAGGTCCTATGTCTAGAAGTTCAATTCGGAGTCACTGAAAGTGGATGTCCCAAACGAGAAGTTCACCTTTACTGCATTCATAGTTAGTTTAGGCGTGCAATCTAAAGACCTGATGTTCTCTATTTTGAAGAACCATCAGGCAAGCATGGCTGAGGTGCTGGCCAAGATAGAGAAATACATAAACGGCGAGGAAACTCTTCTCTCAAAGGTAGGGAGCCCATCCACAAAAAAAAGATAAATGAAAAGAAGAGAAAAAGAGGAACCGAAGTCCCATAAGAGAAAGAGGACGAGATAGGTTTTCCAAGAGGAGACAGAGATCGTTCCCCTAAAAGAAGGGAAGACATTAGAGATCGCTTAGGTCCAGCGCAGCCAAAGTTGCAGCCGAGGTACGTACCTCGAAAACTCCCTCCTCTAACCGAAACAATATCGCAGATCTTGTATGAAGTGCAAAATGAGAATTTATAAGGTAGCCACCCTGGATGAAGGTAGACCCATCAAAAAGAGATCCGACGAAGTACTGTGAGTACCACAGGGACCATGGTCACCACACTGATGATTGTATCCAATCAAAGAAGAGATTGAGTTCCTAATCCAACGAGGGCAGTTTCATCGCTACGTAGCCCAAGATAATTAGAACGGAGCTCCACCACCTCCACCACCTCAGCAGCAAGCTCCTATGCAGCACTAGCAACCCCTAGGGGAAATCAGAGTAATATCAGGAGGATTCGCAGGAGGTGGAGAGTACAGTTCATCTAGAAAGGCCCACCTGCGCAGAATTAGAGCTAGAGAAGCCCTGGAGGTGCATGCTGTGTCCAAGGCACCACGGCTGAGCACAACCATCACCTTCTCAGACTTTGAAGGTTGCCAACACCCTCATGACGACCCGTTGGTGGTAAGGGCTGTCGTAGCTAACATAATAGTTTATCGAGTTCTAATTGACAACGGGAACTCAGCATATATCATTTTTGCTTCTACTTTTGACAAAATGAGCATAGGCAGGGAAAGGCTTGAGCTAGTAAGTGTTCACCTGTTGGGGTTCTTAGGGGAGAGGGAGTTACCCTTGGAGTCAATCCAACTTGTACTTACCATAGGAGATCCTCCCTGTCATGCTACAACAACTGTGAGATTTCTAGTAGTCAAGGCCCTTTTTTGCATACAATATATTGCTCGGAAGACCTTCCTTCAATGCAATGAAGGCTATCCCCTTTGTCTATCATCTGATCATGAAATTTCTTACAGAAAATGGGGTTGGAGTGGTCCGAGGAGACAAGCGGATAGCACGGGAATGTTACATGGCCTTAATGAAGCAAAAAAGAGGTTGAAAATATCTAGTTAGACAAGCTCGACATGAGAGACAAACTGGACACTAAACCAATGCCATCGAAAGAGCTAGAGCCGGTCCAGCTTAACGAGGAGCCAAAGCACCTTGTTTACGTCGGCTCTAGATTGAGCAGGAAAATTAAGGACCTTCTCATCCAATTCTTGAAAGGAGAACATGAGAGTGTTTGCCTGGAAGCAAGAAGACATGGAAGGTATCGACCCCTCGGTTATCACATAATCTAAGTTTGAATCCCACCTGTAAGCCTGTTAAACAGAAGCGGAGAA